AGCAAGCCCGGCTGCGACTACTGCTTCCAAAATGTTTCTCCCACCCTGCCCAGGAGCCCAGTGGAGGCGGTGGAGCGTGCTGCCCGCACTGCTGCTCCCCGCGTGCCCCCGTGCCGGCACGGACCGCGGCCGACCGAACAGACTCGCTCCCACCCGCGCTGGCTGGGGCGACCCTCAGCTCCAGCCCTGCTTCACCGAGAGCCTCCTGGTGCTGCTGCTTTTCCTTTTAATAAGTTCCCAGTGTCTAAAAAAAAATACACAAAACCCAGTTCCTTGAAGTCAACAACTAGGAAACATCAGAAAAAAACAAAAACTGAAACCAGCTCAGTACCAAACAGACACAAAGAACATGCAGTTAGCAGACGCCTGGCTTGCTTCACGTGGCTCCATTCGCTCTCTGCACTAATGGGGCCCACTGGCACGCTGGTTTGAGTCTCAAAACCACCATAAATCAAAGGAATCGAGTCTCGCCAGGCTTGAGAGACATGCCTTGTCCTGTTTCTGTCACACCCACCAAAGCCCAGGCCCCAGCTATCGGGACAGGATTCAACTGACAAAAACTCCAGCCCAAGGGCTAGGAGCTGTGAGTTCAGCCCTACTGTGCTCAGCTGCCAAACGTTTTACAATAGCACCACAATAGCCCAAGTGCTTAGCCAAGGGCAAACTGATTAAAACTTTACCTTGAAATAGGACATAGCATCACCGATTTCTCGAGATTTCCCTCGGAGGTAGATTCAGTGCTGTAGGGACTGTCCATCACTGCCACTTTTCTAGCCCAAGTTCACGCGCACTGTCCTGCTGCCGTGCTTGAAGAGCACCTGCACCTGACTTCACTTTAGGAGACGCCGAAGCAGAAATGTGCATTTCCTGCCTCCTGTTAACTGAGGGCACTGCCATCCTCTCACCACCGCTCAAGCAAGTCTCCAGCTGAAGCCAGGCAAGCGGCAGAGCGGTCCCCAAACTACAGCGTCCCATCTCCCAGGGCCTGGGAACCCAGGACACCCATCAGCAAGGCCATGCCGATGCAAGAGCGAGAGCCTCGGTTGCAAATGCCTCCACTGGGGCGTCACCATCGCATGGGAGTGACTAGCGCGGACAAAGCTCGGGCGATCAAACCACGTCACGAGAACTCGCTGAACCCAGCGGCCGCCTCCGTAGCTTCCTCTCAGAGTAGCTGCACGGTTTGACACTTTGCTTTAACATTCACTCACTGGCAAAGGCTGAAAGACTCATCGGTAATTTAGGGCAAAGCACATTACAAGCAGGTTACAATTACGGTTATTCCAAACATCAAGCAAAATCAGAAGTTAAGGCTGAAATTAAAAATAAACTGAAAGTGTTGAAGGTCTGAGGTCTCGCAAACAAACTCTCCTCTACCCTGTAGTGATGCTGGCTACCACAGTACAAGCAACATACATCAACTGCGTGCTCAGGTTAAACCAGCTGGCAAGATGCATTAGGGCTAGGCCTCATTTTTCTTTCTTTTTATTCCTTTTTCCATCAAACAGAGTCAAAGCTTTTCTAGCACCCTAACTCTGCATCTTCTCACCTTAATGTGTTGCTGCTCTTTAGATTTAACCATATATCCGGTCTCCTGAATTTTAACACTGCCCCCACCTTTAAAGCAAAGCCTGAGCCTGTGGGGGGAGGGGGTTAAATCCTAAATCACAACGTATGCTCCCACAGTACTATCTGGATAGTTTGTCCACGGAAATGAAGGTTTTTTTGTTTTTTGTTTTTTTAATAGAAGTTGTAACTTGAGAACGGTAATAAACAATGCTACCGTGAGCTAGCTAGTATCTGAAGATACACAGTATGGGATTATCCCTTACAACGGTCACTTTGGGGCTAGATTCACCAGAGCCCTGGCTGACAGGGACCAGTATGAGTGAGTCCAGCAAGCTGGTGTAAACGGGATGAGCCGAGCAAAGATGGTAGCCAGCGCCCTGCTCCTCTCCTGCACACGCACCCCACGCATCCCCATGGTTCTTCCTCCTCCGCAACTCTCCTCCCACCTCTTTTGGCAGGCAGATCTTGTCCCCATGAAGTCCATAACTGCGCCTTTATCCCTCAGAAGAGCTCCTCTATCAGCAAAAGTGAATGGAAACTACTTTGCCCAACGGGCAAATCCGCTGGTGAAGTGGGCACTGCGACCACAGCCCACCACGGCGCCGCCGCTACGCACTGCTCCGAGCCCGGCTGTCCTGCCGGCAAGCAGGCAGCACCAGCAGGCATAGCTGCCCATTAGTAGGGCAGCAAATCGTTTCAGCCCCCATCAGAGCCGTGGGAGGTCAGAGACATTTTTACAAGTGGACAGTTACTGGGAAGTTTCCGTGAGCCTCCTTAAGATGCTATGGAAAGGGACACAGCTCTCAACAGAAACAACAGCTACCCTTGCTTGTGTATATAAAACTCTCCATGGCAGCATGTTAACACAAGAGTCATCTCCCCTCCACCTTGTGCGCGCAGTAAGGTCTGATCTGAGACCGCTTGTGACCAGCAGATCAGATCCCTTCTTCAACTATGCAAAAAAGTGCCCTGGCCTTCCTCTGCCAGCAGCGCCGCGCTGGCCAACTCCCCCAGCGCAACTCCCGCACACGGCGTCACGGGCTGACGCCAGCAGCTTGCCTCCTGCGTTCATGTTCTGCCCGGGCAACACGTTACTTGATGCTTCGTTCTACGTTAAAAACATCTAGTGATTCAAATTGGCAAAGCTCTGAAAGGCAGCAATGAACTTCAGGAAACAAACCAAAGTAGCGCCAGTACATACCTCTCTCCCTCTCCTCCTCCGAGGAAGCACTACCAGCTACCACATATAGTAAGCATCCCCTCGAGTGCTGAAGAAGCCCACGTTTTCTTCACAAGGGTTTTGTTGCCCAAAACTGTCTGCCACCCTAAGATCACATTGTTCACCTCCAGATGAAACACAGGCTGGTAAAAGTGGAGCACGTCTCACAGTCTGGCCTAGAGGGACCTATCTCCATGCCTTTTCAGGCCTTGCCCATTTTGCCGAGGTGACCCAGCACAGATAGTCATTCCTAAAAGCATAAATTCTCCCTCTGCAAGCCCTGGGCACATCTATAAAACCCTCCTGATCTGACAAAACATTACCCAGGGGACCACAAGGGCTGGGAGGGAACAACAGCTTGCTGGCTTCCTCTTTCGTTTCCAAATGCCAGGTCACCTTTTACTGAGCAGCCTCCCAGCTACACTGAAGTCAACTTTCGAACATGTAGCTGGAAGGCAGCACGCTGGAAACCTGGTTCCTCGTGGAAAAGGCATGAAGGGAGACAAGAAGAGAGCTGGGGTACAGTCAGATGCAAGGAATAAGGCTGTGTGTTTGAAACGCCATGCAACAGTTTAATCTACGTTCACTGTTCAAAACAAGTTTTTAGATAACAGCTTGCTGTGTGAAAGACTTCTGCTGCTGTGAACCTCACCCTATTATTTGAAAACACGATCTATAGAAGTGATTTTTCAAACCTGCACTTACGAGAACTCATTGAGAACTTCTCCATTATACAGATTTAAAATAGCCTGCACCAAAAATATTCACAGTTTATTTTTCATGAAACAAATAACTAGTTAACACATGACAATGCAAAGCGGAGTTGGACAGAGCAGTGCAGATACCTTTCTGGTTACAGCTGCAGCTGGCTGGGTGGCTGGCACGGAGGTAACCCTACTTACACAATCTACATGACTAAGTCCAGCTCATGGGAAGGCCTATAAATGTAAATTCAAGATTTATTTTCCTTCTCACACATGATAAATACTTAATATACTGAACCTCATTACCATTTTTTATTTTGTTTTAAAAAAGTTAATAAATGCCCTTAGTATATTTTCTCTCTCAATGGCTCTGAGGAGTTGTCCTGATTCCCTTTGTGCAGGAGTCCTGCAGAAACACAAGCTGCTTGCATTTCCCTAGTTTCAGCAGCAAGCAGGAATTGACCTGCCAGTCTTCCCGGAAAAACAACACTAAACAGTAAGTTTCCATAAGCCATAAAGCTTTTCAAAGTCGCTAGCTATTCTACAAAGGACCTGAAATGATTCGGACTAGAGAAGGGATGCACCATAGCACTGGTAACGTCTCCTTGGGCCCAGCACACCCGGCCTTTACAGCAGGACATTGTATTGGGGTGCACACATCAGGAAAGGAGAATGGATCAGGATTTGTCTTGCTACAAGTGTCTGTCTCCCTTCATAGAAAACTGCAAAGCTAATGACTATCCACTCCAGGAGCAGCAAGCACTTGCAAGCCAAATGCTAACAACGACCTGCTCCCAAGTCAGGAGGAAAGGGTCAGCCTGGAGCTAAACTCTCCCTTTGAGGGGAGACCTGCAGATCTGCCTGGAACTAGAAGGATACGCTGGAGCTGTACAAAAGTCTGGTAAGCTGGCACAGAGCGATCCGAGGCTGCGGGACCCGCATCAGCGGAGCTCAGGCAAACCACAGAGGTAATGTGTTGCGAGAGTGGGAGAGTGTGCTGGTCAGCAATGCTTCCTGATGGCAGGATACTGAACCCGATCAAACCCGGGCAGCGCTGCCCGAGGATGCCTGCCCTCCTCCTGGTCTGCGAGGGCAGTGGTGGCCGGTGTCACGAGGTGCCACTCCTTCGGTCCCTGGGATTCTACCGCTTGCCCCATGAGCGCCACGGCAAAGCAAACTCCCGCCTCAACACTCAGGTAATCAACTGCTTTCAGCAGGCCTAGCCTGGACACCAGCCTGACAACCACCAGGTACAAAACATCTCCTTAACTGGAAAAGGGAGAAGAGGAAAAAAGAATGCCAGCCAGCTGCTAGAGCCCACTGTGTTCCAGTGTGAGAACTACTATTCAGTTGGAAGGACATACACGCGCACACACACGCACACATACACACACCAACACAGTCCAGTTAATTCAAGTCTCCTTTGGTTGTAGACAGTTAAGCCAGAAGCTACCCAAGGGGAAGATGTTGAGATGGGTCCCGATACAGATACAGCATTCTTGCCTCTGTGCTACAGAACAAATGACACAGGCTTCACTTGCAGCTCTGTAGTGCATCACTCCACTGGGAAGACCAGAAATGATGCAAACACATGTCCTGAACATGTCTGAGGCAAGCAAAGAAAAGACCGCTTAGTTTGCTGGCTCACGGTAATGACAGAAGTCAAGATGAGACTAGATGGAAATTTCAAAGGGAGCACCGACGCCCTGCAGGGGTGGTGCACAGCACCTTGGGGAAATTCACTCTGCTCTACTCTGCTATTGCTGCTTTATAGGTCACTATGTTTTCAAGTGCAGGAAAAACACTGTGTGTGTCCTGTGCTAAAGGATTAAGACGCAAGAATGAAAAAACTGCCAGATGGCTTCCGCCAAGATCTCAAAATCTTTCCTCTGACCTCCTTCAGATTTCCCATTTCTTGGGCCTGGACAGTCGCAGCTTCGTATAAAGGAGCCTCAGTGGATATTGCCTATTGCTGCAGTAAACTGCACAGACCGGGTGCAGTGGGCTCCTCTCCTAACTCGGCTGGAGACAATACCTGTCCTTCTGTGAACCACGCACGCAGCACATCCCAGTGAACGTATGGACAAATCTTGCAAAGCAAAACCCCGCAGGGACAGAGAACTGGGCAGACAACAGATAAAACCCCTTCCCTGCCTCTACAGAGTCTAGCAAGGGAAAACATCTGATTGCTCACCATCTGATCCCTGAAACACCTCCAATCCCAGGGCAGCCTAACTGATCTGCTTCCTCTAAATACAGTAATAAGAAAGGGCCCCCTAGTTGTACTTGGGAACCCGCCTACGACTCAGACCTGGAGCTTGAACACGCTGGATCAGTAATGTGACCATTCCAATGGAATTTGAGATTTTATCCAGAGTGGACTCTTTATTTCAGCTTTACCATTTGTAAAAGGAAGAGGAAAAGGTCACGGATGCTCTCTCCCCTTGGCTGGGCCACACTCAGACTTAAGTGAACGTCCTTGCTCATGTCATGAGAGAATATGGATAGGATGTGCATGGGTTAGGGGCCGGGCTCAGGGAAGTGAATAAAAAAACAAAACAAAACAAAACAAAGAATATCCCCCTCCCTAAACATTAAAAGACTGAAACCTGCCTCCCATATTCACCAACCTCACTTTGGCTCTGAGTCAGCCAACTCATGACAGACAGAATCCTGGTTATGGGCTAGCGCTGTGTTTTGTTCAGGCAAAGGGTCCTGCCCCAGAGGAGTATGTACTTTTCCAGCCAGCCAAGAAATCTGGTCAATTGTCTGAACGTTCCTGACAAGCCACGGCGTCTGCTCTGGGGACACTGGTGCTTCCCTGGCAGGCCGAGGGGTCTGCTCAAACGCACGCAATCTCTCTGATGTCCAAGGGGTTTGCTCTGTGGGGGCTGAAGCCATTTCCCAGCCAGGCTGAAGTGTCGGCTCTGGTAGCTTCTCTGCTGTCCGAGGAGACTGCTCTGCAGGTGTCAGGGCTTTTGCAGTGGGCCAGTGGGTTTGCTCGTGCGTCTGTAGTTTCTCCGTAGGCCAAGGTACCTGTCCGACATGCGTAGCTGCTTTCCCAGCAGACCAAGAGATTTGCTCACCAGGTAACATGGTCCTCTCTTTCTGCTGGGGATTCACCTCCATAGCAGCGGCTCCTCTCTCCTTCGGCTGAGCGTTCTGGTCGACGGGCCGCAGCGCCTTCTCAGACAGCAACAGCCTCGGCGCTGATGCAGCTGGAGGCTTATCCAAAACTTGAGGCCGAGGAGCTACAGCCGCAGTCAGTTTGTCCGATGCCTGAGGCCACGGGGCTGTAAGAGTGAGAGGCCTCTCCAACAGCTGAGGCCGGGCCGCTCCAGAGCCAAGAACCTTCTCTGGAGGCAGGACACGCAACGCCCCAGAGTCAGAAGCCTTCTCTGGAGGCAGGGACCGCAGCACCCCGGGGGTGAGAGCTTTCTGCCCAAGTGGAAGCCGCAACGACCCTGAGCTGAGAGCCTTCTCCACCGGCAGGATGTGCGGTGACCTGGAGCCTGGGGCCTTCTCTGGAGGCAGGGGCCGCGGTACGCCTAAGCTGGGTGCCTTCTCCGTGGGTAGGATCCGTGACATCCCTGACGCAGGAGTCTTCTCCGCAGGCAGGGAACGCGGCGCCCCAGAGCTGGGAGCCTTCTCTGTGGCTGGGAGTCGCATGGCCCCAGAGAAGGAAGCCTTTTCTGGAGGCAGAGGCCATGGCACTCCAGATCCAGGAACCTTCTCCATGGGCAGGATCCGTGAGATCGGGGAGCTGGGAACTTTTTCAATGGGCAGAGGCCACAGTACCCCAGGGCCGAGAGCCTTCTCTGATGCTGGGATGCGTGGCACCACAGAGCTGGGACCCTTTTCCATGGACTGAGGCTGTGGACTCTGGGCAGAAGCTTTATTCAACAGCTGAGGCTGATCAGCCACAGGAGGCTCATCCACCGGCTGGGACTGCAGGGTCCCCACAGTGGTGAGAAGTCTGTCTGACAGTTGAGGATGCAGGCATTTCGTTGGAAACTCATCCAGCAGCTGAGGCTGCTGGGTCCTGGTGCCAATGAGAGACTTGTCTGAGAACCCCAAAACCCCAGCAGTGGCAGAAGGCTTGTCCGATAGCTGGAGCTGCAGGTCGCCAGCAGTAACAAGCGACTCATCTGATGACTGTGGAGTTCCCGGAGGAGATTTGCTTGGCAGATGAGGCTGCGAGGAGTCACTAGGAGACTCGTCCAGTGGCCACAGCACTGCACTGGTGGGAGGTTTGTCGGGCTGCTGAGACCTCAGCGCTACAATGATGGGTTGCTTCTCTGACTGCAGCCTTAGGGACAGGGCAGCCTGGGGCCTGTCTGACGGCTGCAGACGGAGCGACAGGGTGGTAGGAGGTTTGTCTGAAGGCTGCAGCCGGAGTGAAAGGGTGGTGGGGGGTTTGTTGGATGGCTTCAGCCTCAGTGACAAGGTAGTGGGGGGTTTATTTGATGGTGGCAGTCTCAGTGCCAGGGTGGCAGGTGGTTTGTCTGGTGGAGGCAGCCTCAGGGCCAGGGTGGTGGGGGGCTTGTTTGACGGCTGCAACCTCAGGGCTAGGGTTGTGGGGGGTTTGTCAGACGGGGGCAGCTTCAGCGCAAGGGTAGCAGGGGGTTTGTCCGACGTCTGCAGTCTGAAGGCCACGGACTGAGGTAGCCTGTCCAAAGACTGAACACTCAGGTCAGTATCTGCGGACGGCTGCTCTGGTGGCTGGGTGTCATCATCATTAGCCAGTGCTCCTATGGGAGGCACATACTCACGAATTTCTCCTGGCTCTAGCGGGTTGGGCCCACAGGGATCATGCTCTGTGCAGCATAAACGTCCATCCAGCTTGGAGATGAAGAGCATGCCTTCTCGATGCTGCTTGCAGAAGGATCTGGGGCACATCTCGCAAAAGGAAGCTGCTTCCTTGCCACACAAATCACACTGATGCCATGGGCACTCCCATTTTCCTGCAGTATGGACACAAGAGAAAAGACATAACTTTAGGAGTGGTACAAAGGGAAGATACAAGGCTTGCTGCAAAGAGAGTTCAAGGGATAGCGGGAACACCCTTGTAACGCTTAGATATAATTCTACAGCTGCTCATTCTTCTCAATCTCTGCCATAGCTCTTAGGCTTGAAGGCCAGTTAACAGCAACTTGCAGTCCTTAGAAGCAACGAGGGAAATCATCATCATGACAAACATAAACCAGGTCAGGTGAGACCAAAGGCCTATCTGACTTCAGGATGATCCTAACTAGTATGGGTGCCTGGACAAGAGCAGACACCTCCAGCTTGCACCTCTTTGTGGCTCTGATTTCCAGAAAAAAAACAGCAATATCTGTGTACAAGACTCCCAGTGGATTTTTGAAGTCATGTTATCCAAATTATTTTTAAATCCTGGCCATCCAGATTAAAGACTGCTGCAAGTTCTGCTTCAGAATCGGCCCTCCATGCTGAATGATTTGTAGATGTTCCAGGTTCAACTAAGCCTTTATTAATTCTGGGGCCAAATTCCTCCCTTCCTGTTTACCAGAAAGTAGTAGTCAGAGGACAGCGGATATAAGGAAATGAGCTTCTCTCGTCTCCATCCCCAAGGCATCTTCCTTAACCTCTGCATATGCCCATGATAAAAACGCCTCTGAACCCAAAGCCAACCTGTGCCCTGAGGAGCTCACTGTCCACACTGAATCTATTCACTGCCTGTATCAAAACCATCATAGAGGAAAAGAAAATAAACATGACAGTTCATAGAGGTTACGTTTTGTTGTTTTTTTCACGTGAAGATGGATCTGTTTCAGGCCCCTGCTCCTTGCCAGCCAAGGCTGCTGCTATCTTGATTAAGCTTCTGACTAGATCATGAAACTGTCTTTACGGCCCCAAGGAGGAGCAAGATCATTTGCCCCCAAGGTACGTGATGCACTGAGTCTCTGACCTCTCTGCAGCCGCCCCGTCCCCCATGCTCCCAGTGCCTGGGGGTACCACGTCCTGCTGCCAGGAGCAGCCCTCCCCGGGAGGCTGGGGCAGAGCCATGGGCCTGTCTGCCCTCAGGGGCAGCCAGAAGCAAGGGCGGAGGAGAGCCATCAGCCCGGCAGCAGTGCGGTGCCAGGGTGGGAGCACTCCCCACCCTCCCCGAACCAAGCCCACACATCTGTGGTTTTTGGCTATTAGCTCCTTCCAAGAAAGACAGGAAGAGATAGAGCCTCCCGCGCTGCACCGAGCAGCTGTGGTCATTTCTTGATGCACTTGCGCAACATCAGCTTTCCACTCCCCCCACCTCGCATGCTGCTTCTCCCCCCAGGCTGAAGAGAACATGCAGCATGTTTTTCTGTTCCTTTGAAGCCAATCCAAGACTTCTGTTCCGGTCTCAAAAAAATGTATACAGCTTTTCTGTGTCTTTTCCAATTTTTCAACATCATTTTCAGAGCATGGAAGCTTCAAACTAGATATGGTTTTCCCATGTCAGCCTGGCGGTGCTGCAGCACAGCTATTACTGCTTCCCCCATTCCCACGCCAACCCCTGCACCAAGCCTCTTCCCACTGGTGAGCTCTCCTGACATGCTGTTATTAAATTAGAGAGCAGCCACTTTGAACAGTCACTTTGACCACTGGAAAGACTCTGGACTATTATTATAGAGGTCATTTGTAACGACTGAAAATAAAATAAGACAAAAGCTGCCAGTATGTTTCACCAAGGATAGACTGCATCAAACCGCTCTAACGGTCTCTGATAGGATAAAAGGTCTAATGAAAGGGAGCCTCTCCAGAGACAGCCCAGAGCAGAGGAGCTCTCAGAAGTACGATCACACGATTAGTAGCATGCAAACAAGCAGGAAATTCCTACTGTTCAGCAGCAAGCCCATGACAGGAGAAACTTTTGAAGGAAAAAGTGGTAAACCTTTAACATCCTGCATGACATTCTAAGGTGTAGGCTATGAAAACAGCATTCTACACACAAAAAATGGTAAAATGGCTATAACCGGCTCAAAACTATTCTCAGAAAGCAGCTATTAATGGTCTTCTGTCAAACTGAGAGGGCATTTCAAATGAGGTCCTAAATGGAATCTGTTCTAGTCTATAATTTAATTTAATTTTTGGTAACAGAATAGTAAATACCTTTACAGAAACATCTGTAGCTGACAATAAGGCTGTGTGGGACTGTAAAAATTTGGCTGAACAGGCTCAGAATTCAAACTTGTATTGATAAACTGGACAGATGTACTTACACCAACAAGATGCCATAAAATAAAATAAGATCAGTGCAAAGCATGATTGTAGGAAGAAGAAACAAAACAAACATGTGAACAAGATCAAGACAAGGGGACTCAAGGATAACAGGGTAAATCACAAGCTAAATAGAAACAAAAAGTTGTTGTTTTTGCAAAACAAAGTCCAATCTCATTTCCTGAAGAATTTTATGTAAAACACAAAACGTAATTACTGTGTTCTGTTGGCGTTAGCAAGGCCTCAGTGGCAATACTGTTAAATATTCTTGTTACTACACTTTAGAAAATATGTCGGCAAACGGGACACAATCCAGAGTAGAGCAAGAATTACAATTTTAGAAAATAAGAGCTGCAAGGACACGCTGTGCTTGTTTAATCTGGAAAAGGACTAAGGAGATAACACAAGTCTTCCAGTACATAAAAAATTGATATCAGAGAGAGAGCAATCCATTGTTTTCCAAGTCTACTCAAAACGTCAGGCTGATTAACAGAAGCAGCTTTTCAAATGTATAGCAGGGGAACAGGAGAGAGACTGCATTCTCCCCTATTGGAGATTTGAAAGCACAGGGAAAATATTTGCCAGGATATTCCAAGGTCCTGTCTTAGCACAGAAAGACGGTGTGGAAAGGTAATATTCAGGACTCCCTCACCCTGTTTGAGTATGTCTTCATAGGAAGGGCCTGCACTTGTCATCGGCTTTCACAGGGCTGTGCTACAGCATCTCTTCAATTAGCAGAGCAGTCCAAGCTATCCTGTACCAATGTCCTACTCTCCTTAACGTTTAAACACACTGATAATTTCTGTCATCTGCAAAATGTGTTACTAGCACTTTCTATACTTCGCCAAATTACAGCTAATGATGTCGAATGCCCAGTTGTGGTTCCTTGTGGAGCTCCAGCAGAAGCACTCTGCTGCACAGACGGTTTCTCTTAGAGACCGCTTGGTTACATGCTTCTTAACCTGCCTCTGAGATGATTAGGAAATGCTCTACCGAGCTGCATAGACGGTTTCTAATGACAATGCTGTACGGTACTAACTCAAAAATATTACAACCCCCTAACTCAAATTACATTAACACAGTTGCCTTTATTAACCAAATTTATAATCGTAACAAAACACTAAATTAGGCTTGATGAGTTATTCGGGTTAAAAAATTTGTCATCCAGTACTGATTACATTCCTACTCTTTCATTCTTTTGCACTTGATCCCATATCAGCTTTTCCATCCTCTTGGCCTGGCAGAAATCAGGCTAACTGGCCTTCCAAGACTCAGGCTAGACTTTTTTCCTTTCTGAACATTGGTTAAATCAAAACACTCAAAGGTCCCTGAAATTTCTTTTGTAACCAAGATGTACTGCAAAAACAGAGGAAACACTCTTCTCAACCAGCTCCTTTGAGACCTCTAAAAGTAACTTAAATGTTTTTCTCTAATAGATGTTACTTTACATCTCTTAAGCTACTAATGAACTGGAAACTGTTTAATCGTTCTCATACAGTGAGTACATGAAGTTATTTCTTTCCCCGCACACAAGCTAGAACTACTTTTTGAATACTTCTGCCTTAAATGTCTGCAGACAATATGCTTAAATACTGTTCTCTTCCTTAACTTACGCAATTATGGCTTTTTAGGCATCTGACACATTCTTCTTTAACTCCCATTTTCCATTACTGTTTTTCCTCACAATTCATTTCACTAACTTCTGTTCAGCTTTGGAAAAGCAGCCAGTCTGAGCAACCAACATCTCTCCTTGGGAGAGTTGTTGGGATTGTCCTCTGCCAGGCCCAGAGGTTGGGGTCAGATCACAGGCACCATTTCTTAGGTAACGACAAGCTCCCCATTCGGCAATAAATTCATCCTCTGCAGTCACAGTGGGGTGCAAACCAGGGCTGTGCTGCATGGGGCACAAGTCTGCTAAAGTGATAAAGATCGCCAGCTTTTAGACGCTGCAGAGAGAGCGCAAGCCAGCAAGCAGCTCCTGGGAGACCGCGAGCCAGTGCCGTCTCTCCTCCCGGAGCCAAGTCGCGCCGCGCAGCGCACTGACCTGCAGGCCTCTTGGTCAGGTTGAGGCAGTCGGCATGGTATACTTTGGGGCAGCCCGGCTTCTTACAAGAAACTAGCTGCCCTCCATCCCCACAGCTGAAACACTCGTCCTCTCGCTCCTTCATGACCTCCGCCTGTGACCTGCGCTTCATCTGTGGTCGTCTCTTTAGCTTCTTGGACTTTTCCTCAGTGAGAGTGGGTTGGCTCTGCAGGTGAGACAACGTCAGTTAATACAGGTCTCTGCCCCTTCCACCTGTTCCCTTCTTGCTACAGTGGATTATAACTGCAAACCCCACAATTAAAAGCTGCTACCAGCCATACCTGAAACATCTGTGGCATCTCTACAGACGCGTCTTAACATTTGGCAACCATGTTCCTATAGTAAATGTTCTTGTTTTTGTGGAAACAGTCTGGAAGCTCTGTACCCAAAGCCTGGCTAAACGCATGATGCATGTGAGTAGCAAGAGCAGAACAAGGAGCCAAGGGCTGCCCAGTGGTGCTGAGCTCATGCCCCTTTGCAGGCAACCTCTCACGAACTCTCCAGGCTCTCTAAGCAGTTGGGTCTCCATGACTCTCAACGAGGAGTTCGTTCCAGGCCCTTCCTGCACATTTTGATGTTCTCACCCCTCTCCTTATTTTCAGCCTGAATTTATTTGCAATTAGGTTAGACCTATTTGTTCTTGTGTCAATACTGTTCTTTTCCCGAAGAAGTTTTTCTCTGTCCCTGAAGTAACCACCAGGATACACTTACAGGCAGCAGTCACAGTCCTCACAAACTAAACTCTTCTACAGTCTTGATCTCCCCAATCTTCCTAATGACTTTTCTCTGCCTGCATTGAGTTCATCTCTCCCAAACACAAGTTACAGAATTACATACACTACCTCAGATGATGCCTCACAGGACTGTGTACAGCAACATTAACACTTCTCTAACTGAGCTGGAAATACCTCTCTCCAAAGAACCCTGACTGCGTTTGCTTTTTTAACAGCTGCATCGCAGCAGCAGCTCACAGGCATGCTGTGACACAACAGCACAAGAGCTCCTTCTGCATCATTATTTCTCATTGATGACCTCCTTATTGCAGATTTGTTTTTGCTATTACCCTCCAGGTGTGTGTTCTGGCATACTGAATCACTAAATTTCATCCCATTTCTAGTACTCAGTTTTTCCTTTGCAATTGTCCAGTCTTCTCCTCCACTGATGACGCCTGATATCTTTGTGCCATCAGCACACCTAAATCAGCAGGCTTCTAACACCTGTGCTAGAGACAATAATGAAATAACCACGACTGGTCCCAAGGCTGATGGCTAAATGGCCTAAGTACTTACTTTCCTGGCCTAACACTTCCTCTTTCAGTGCCCACACTGCCACCCCTTTTCGACTGAGCTCCTTAGCAAAGGCCTAATCCCTGTAATAACGACCCTCTCCAGACCGTCTGCCACTGTATCAAACACTCTGCTCAAGTCCAGATAGATGACACCTTCCTGTGCCCAATCAGCGGTCTTATCAAAGAACTATCAGTTTTGTTTATCCAGATTACTCTTTGATAGATACAAACTAAATTGTATGCCATTTTCCATGCATCTTTCTGTCCAAGTACGTGTTCTACATGCTGCATGTAGAATATCTCTGTATGCTGAGATGAGACCTACTAGTTGATTTTTTGGATGCCTTTATTCTCCATAAATATTAGGCACTCTTTTGGTCATTCTCCAGTCAAGATCCAATCAAGATAAAAATAGAATTGTTTAAAAACCTTCGTCACCAGACCTACAGTTTCAGGATTCTGCAGTGGTGATGGTCCAGCTGCCCTGCCATGAATGTACTGCATTTCACATTTGCTTCCCTTTCACATATGAATATTTCTAGTTTTGTACCCACATGCCGATTGACAATAGGGACGAGTCAGGCCTTTTTAGTCATACTGAAAATATAGGCGAATAAATCATTCAATTGGAAGGCCCCACCTAAACTATCCCTACCTTTTACCTATTCTCTCCTGCTTTTCAGCCACATGAATACAAAGAGAAAAAAAAAACTTTTCACAACTAATTTGAATGTCCTAAACAAGGTCCTAAGCTACACTTTAGAGATTCTCACTTTTTCACTGCAGTACAATAGACTCGCAAGTGTTCTTCCAAACTCACAGTTAGAAAGATCACTTTTAGAAGTGAACTGTGAGTATAACCAACGTAGTCTCCTGAAACAAACCAACAGCTGAGACACAGCTTTAGCTGATGACAGCTGGGAACTCAGCCAACTGCTTCTGTCGTTTCCTCTTCCCAGTGAGAACCAGCTCACACAAGCAAGGTAATTGAAATCAATTCCTGTTACTGCAACATTACAGTTACAAAATTAAGTTCTCAAAAGTCTGCAAGTTCTAAAAACTAGTGATTCTTCTACAGTAGATATGGCAAATTTCCTATTCCTGTCTGATGTGTACACTTTCATTGTTTAAGTAAAAGAAAGAAAAAAAAAGAACTTTCCTATTGCGGGAAAGATGGTGATGCAGAAGCCTTCCAGCTATAAGGCATTTCTAACTCCAGTCTAAAGAAATATGGGTTTGCTGGCCTTCCAAGTATGCTCACAATTTACTCAGGCCTTTACTTGGGGAAACAGGCTCAGCTAAGGTTGCTTCGTTATCTGATAGAAGTCTTTTACATGCCTGTCCTCTCCCTCTTTAGCAAGATGGAAATTGCCACGACAATGAGAAGAAAACTCTGAAAAAACTTTCATTTATTTTTTATCATAAAATACAGCTTCCTGTGATTATTTGTAGCAACTCCAACTCTAATAATTGAGATCTAAGAGCTGCACGTCTGAGATCAAAAGCTTGAACGTTCATCTCAGTTCAAGCAATGTTCTCATGTCCACACCGAAAATCTCTGAAGCAAACGCTCCACTTCTATGCGAAGAGATCGTTTGGAAGAAGAGTTTAAAAAGAGGCATCGTACCTTTGGCCGCACTCCCAGGAAGCCACTGCAATTTGGAGCACCACATTTGCAAACTGTCTTTCCATTTCCCAAACACTCCAGGTTGTAGTTAAAGGTCAGCTCAGTTCCTAACGCAAAAGCAAATCAAAAACAGAAGACGAGTTGTAACAAACTATGTAGCAGAATGTCTTATTGCCACTGCTAAAGTACATTTGAAATATGATGACACAAAAGACTGACACAACTATGCAAGTATTTATCAACTGTTACTCTTCCTGTAGCTCTGTAGGGATTGAGAATTCAGTGCAACCCCCCTCTCCTACCACATACTAGAGCTGAAAAGTGCATTCAACCCCATGCTGTGGCACACTCTTAGTTCCGTTTCTTGGTTCTGTAAATTATACCCATGAACCTCCATTTATACCATGGACGTATGTGTTTCACTACGTCAGTGCTGGTGTTTTGTCTCATGAAGGCCTACGTGAAAACAGAAAAATTAAGTATGTTCCCAGTGAGCCACAAACCTTCCCCTTTCCTTACAGAACCCTTCATTGCAGGTACTGCTAGGTGGGTTCCTTACCAGCTTTGATATTTACAAGCGCGAAGAGACCAACTCGAGTGTCACCATTCACACACCATTTCTGAGTCTCACAGTTTGGCTGGCAGCAATGGTTCATGAACCGAGCGTAATTGCCCTTTGGCCCGGCATCAATGATTCGATCCTAGAATTGCAAAGGGAAAGAAAATCACAGTCCGTAAGTGGTATCTCCAGCTCAAGCCATTCCAGCACAGGTAACAGCGTGCCAAGAAAGCATTTCACAGTAGTGCAAAGCGTGCACAGAGACAGTTGGTGACACTTACAAAGCACCTGAGAACGTATGCACACTTTAACCAAGCGTAAGTGACAGGTGCCGCTCTGCGGCCAGACCCTAACTTCTGCTTAAAAGCAAAATATCAGCTCCTACTTCTTATAGTTTAATGAACAGCAGGAAACAGGAACAGTACGTGATGTATGAGGTGACAACACCTCTGTACAGTGTATTAGGACTTGTCAGACAATGTCAGAGAGGAGAGAGGAGTTGCAATGGAGATTGGTTTTGCCACAGTGAGTTGCTGACTCAGGAGATACTAATACTTGATTTTTTTCCTGCTCCCACCCATCAGCCAAACAAGGAGTCTAATCAGTGGACAGAGCCAGTTTTCTCAGCACAGAAAGCATATGTTGAAGGACACAATACACGTGAATTCATTATGAGCTGGGCCATACTTCATCATGAGTGACTCATTTGTGGACGTCAGCGTGGAAAAGCCCCTTTTTTCTTCTCCTTTGCCCTGTCTACACACCTAGTGCTGACAAGAGGTCAGCTTTTGTCCTGACAATGCAGTTTTCTCATGCACATCTGCAGCGTAGAGCACATATCTGTATTTCTGACTGCTGCAAAGTCTTTAGCTAGCTTGTGCAACAGGACAATTCTTAGGTATGGGACGTCTGGGAGAGTCAAGGTCCCACGATGCTTAAACTGAGAAGAAAAGCAATTGCCCCAAAGGCTTCCAAATGAGAACAACATACAGCCAATCTCAGCTTCTAACAAGAAGGAAGACAGAGGGAAAGGGAGAGCTAGAAAGCAGTCAAACTGTTATCCTGTTCCACGCTCCACATTTTTTTCCTATGCCTGCATTAAGGGTTTTCTTCAGATCTTTCCAAGCCTGAGTGACAAAGCATGGAAAGCAGCTGACAAATCTACTTACCCCTAAAAGCCAGGAACTTACGCTAGCAACTGGGCCTTCAGGACCCATTAAGAACCACTCTATGGCTGTAGCAAACTCGCTCCCTCTCTCCTTTAACGTGCAAGGCCTAGGTCCTGAACTTAAAACAAGGGTCCCCCTGTGTCTGGTGCTGTATATCTGAGGGCTGCTGTCTTCTCCAGCACTCACCAGCCTAGTCCTGGACTATGCATGGTTCAGCTGCTGGGAAGGACCCTTAGGTTATGAAATTCACCCTGTTTATGTGCATGATCCTCAGACAACTGCCCCTAGACAACCGTCTCACCTCTTCTGAATAAACTCCAGTGAAGTTGTTTTAGACTTTGCACCTGGTCCTAATGTCCAGCCTGAACCTTCTCCACTGCACAGTCAGTCCATTCTTTTAGCTTTCATCTCAGTGAAAATGCATACCAGCTCATCAGCACTCTTAGCACCTTTATACTTACTACGAGACCGCTATCACGCAGCCCTTGAAATATCATTTCACTTCTGCCTAGGATCTTGGCAAGAGAAATTCTTTCCACATACCTTATCCAGTGTCAACATGTAGAAATTGGTGATGTCATGCTCCTGAGCATAGCGGATTCGGGCTCGGCACTCTTCTTCATCAATTAGCTCCCCAACATACTCATTAACAAATTCACCCTGCCCAAGAGAAAACAACAGGCTGTTGATACAAAAAATTCCCTCCAGGAGAGAGGGACATCCAGCTCTGTGCTAAAACTTAGTTCCTGTTTCCTTTGTAGAAACTTTTTCCTAACAACCTTCCTCTGTGCTTTGCAGTCAGTTTGACCTACAGCCTTCACTAAGAGCCCTGAATTATACAGCCATTTCACATACGCAACAAATAACATGAAGTAAACTAAATAAAGCAACAACAGCCATCATATTATTCTTTGTGCTATGGAAAGAATGAACGTTCAGGAATAGCATAAAGGAAACCACAGATAGCTTTTTTTTTGCGGCAAAATTCAAAATACTACACAACTGCATTTCAGTTGGAAGCAATATCCATTTTGGGACCTGCAACACTGAGGAGCATAATACACCTAGGGCACCCCCTCCTGCAGTAATTCCGTGGAGTTCGCCTGTAGCAAAGTACTTCAGCCGTTAAAGGGAACCACAGCTCTGCTCCCCCGGAGCCAAGAGGTGCCTCCATTAAATAAAGGAGTTTTGCAGTTTCCACACTGACAGTTAAAAGAGAAACAAAACAGGTGCATGGAATGGCAAATAAATCCTTCAACCTATGTCACAGCAGGCAGTGGAGCCTAAATAGGACAGACTCTTGCACTTTTCCTACTGGTATCAAGCCCTTCTCCACAGTATGTTCTCCAAACTCCTCCTCCTTCAGACATTCCTTTCCTACTATGCTATCTAATTGTCCTCTGTTTCAATTCATCATTTCTTTGCTTTGGGGTTGTTATAATACTCTTCCTTCTTCATTCAGCACAGATGTGTAGCCACAGAATAACTACTCTCTGGATTAAAAAAAAAGAAAAAAAAATGTTTCAGCTGCCTGGAGATACTAGTTTCAGCAATAATTATAGCCATCTCCACAACATTCTGCCTTTGTAAGAGCCAAGGCCTGGTCTCGGTAACAAGATTCTCATGTTAGAAGACCCTGGCTATTCAAGAATGGGGGTGGAGGTGGGGAAGAAACGCTATTCCTTGTCTGGAAATCCCAAGCACTATCTTCAGGCCAGGGTTCCCGTGTATTCATAAATGTTCATCACTTTAATATCTCTCCATACAAGCAGATAAATCAAATGATCATCTGTTAGCCTGTTACATTAACATACAAACTATGTACTTAGCTAAGCCAGAACATTCTTGTCAGGACTGGAAAAGTTAAACTCATCTATTTCTTTCATAAATGACATTCTACAGCAAGAAAGTATTTTTCAAATCATGGAAGACGTTTGAAGATATCTATTAAAATTGACGCTGTGGCAAGCGGGAATTAAATGTAGAAACAGAGCACTTACTTTTCTAATGTCCGTTTTGGCTTGCAAGCCCCAGCCTCGTGCCAGCGTGCGGAAAATTTGTACCTCAGGATACTGCCGTTTGGAAAAGCACTGGTTCTGACAGCGTTCCCCAGCAGGGCAGACCATGGGATGGCATTCGTAGAGCAACATGCGATTGATGCACTCCGAGTCCAGGCCACACGGGTTCTCATCTGTTGGTTTGCAATTGCAACGTGGTATTTCTGACAGGTCTGCAGTGAAGATCTGCACCTTACCCACTGGACGGTTTACCTTGAATGCACACAAAGGATGTTAGCTATTTAGGAACAACAGTTTCTCATGACAGTCACCGCTACTGTTAACCGTTGCCTACGAACTTACAGGCTGCAGCGTAAGTTAGTTACAGCAAGGTGTCGGACGAAAATATACTGGTACTTCTAGGCACATTATTTCAAGATGCATACATGTAGAGGAAAGACCTAAGGAGGATGTAGGTCCCCCATTAGCACCACCTGGTGCAGGGTGCATTCTGTATCCCCTGAGTGGGGAGAGACTGCAGTGTCCCCCTCCCAGCACCACGGTGGCTACAAGGAGCCCAGTCTGACCCCACGCAGCCCAGTGCTCAGGCTGGGTACACACTACACCTGTGACTGACACCAAGCATTCACTGTGTGAAACAGCACCTTCTCCAGTCCCTGGGAGTCAGGTCTTTCTCCTCAGCTTTTCCTTATAGCCCTCCTCTTTGCATCTGTTACCTTCCAGCTGTTTTGTGCTCTCGGCTGTCACTATGAGAGCCAGGCTTGCATACCTGCGGCAGCGTACAGAGGGCCTACCTACGCACCAGGACACAAGCAGTTATTTCCCTACCCAACTTTCCTGCAGGTGTAAATGAAAGGAAAATCAGACAAGGCCGGGGTTGAGAGGCCCAAACAGGAGCTCAGAGTTAAGCCAAGGAGCTCTCTAAAAACCGCTCCTGAAGGAAGCAGAGTGCAGCACCAGGTGGAGAAGCGACTGGCTTGTCTGTGGCACGAGCAGGGTCCTTTGGTTTTGGTTAAAGGCAGCGAACACTGAAAGGCAGGCAACAGAGAGTCAGGACTTTGGAGAGAGACACTGAAGAAAAGCTCCTTGCTGTACGTTCCATGGGTGAGCAATACCACCAGGTCCCTTTCCTCTCCCAGAACATGAAGGAATAGCAAAACTATTCCAGCCCCCACACAATTTCTCAAGTCCCACCCACAGAGCAAAGTTTCTGTGCTGGCAGCCTGCCACAGGCTGGCCTAGGCCTTATCCTCTTTCTTTGTTTAAAAGCAAATCAATCAGACACCCCAGGTTAATCTCTCTAACACATGCAGTCTCCTCTTCCTATTATTGCAGTCTCTTCCTCCTATTACTGCCTCCCATCTGTGACCTTCCTTGTCACTCTGTGTTCCTCTCCTCTGCTGCTTCTCATCTCTTATTTAGACTGTTAGCTCATCACTTTGATAGAGCAATGAGAGACTCTCAACATTAGCACTGTTCAGCACCGAGCAGACAGAGGTGCCTTCGCTGACTCTGGCACTGCCACTCCAAACTGCAGTGTTGTCTATGCAAGATCACCCTCCCAGCATGAAAGGCCCTAATCTCAGACATTACTGGTACAAAATCAGTTCCCAAACAGCGAGATGCTTGGACAAGCCATGGCCCTAATCCTGGTGTCATGAAGGATCCCAACTGTACTTTGCAGCAGTCTCCTGTGTCGGTGTTCCTCACGTTAGACTGAGGTGCTGATCTCTTTAGAAGGCCAGGCAAGGGACTGGACACAGCTACCTTCTGCCATTCCACCCTAAAGCCTTGCCTAACTCATGGTATGCTCTGGCCAAGTTTCCTTTGCTTTCACAGAGACAAACAGCTTGTACCCAGACCTCAGAAGAACAACTGTCGTGGCTAATGGCCATGACTATTATTATTTATATTAAAAGACTATCCAAAAGGCTCCAAACTGTTTCCACAATTTCTTTGTGTTGCAGCCAGAAACAGACTTAAAAATACCTTTAATGAGAAACAGGATTTCCACCACTGGAGCTGCCTGGCCCATGCTGCTGGCACAGTGCCACAGCATTCAGTTGCATTCTTTACACTGGACAGTAAGTCATGCAGGATCTACCTGCCTGCCTAGAAATCCTGGCTAGAAACAGAAAGGTCCAGCAATCAGTTGAGCTTTCACACTTTGCCACATAAAAAAGGGAAGGAGCAGAAGGAGACAACAAAAAAAGGAACACAGTCCTGGAATCGCTGGGTTTCTGATCACGCTGCATCCCAGCTGGGCCCACACCTCAAGTGCATGAACCTCCTCAGCCCTACCTCTCCCCCTTCCTTAGTCATCTCCATCTTGTAGTACTCTCTTCTATTACTGCTCCAAATCTATCTCAAAACATAGCCCTAAATCTGAACAGTTTCCCAAAACTCAGCAGAAGGGTTGATATTCCAACACATACATCTGCTTTAGTGGTTCTGTTCAGTCAGCAATTGCTACAAAACACCCTGAAACAACAGGAGAGATGAAACAAGATACTACCAAGCTCCAGTGTGGGTTACCATCTTTCCCACAGCTCTGCTCCACTGTACCTCAACTCAACTGCTTTCCCACACCATGTGGGAAGCCCACCTTGCACCAGTAGCACACAGTACTTGGGCACACTGCACATTTTACTAGCGCTCTCCCTTAAGTCCCCAAGGAAGAGACACTCTTCTTTCACCCACAACTGACATGGAACAGGGATGTCCAGATCTGTTCCAGTATATCAGAGTACCTCTATTACTGGTGTCCAGCTTCCACACAGCTCTGCTGATACATGAATCCTTTCTGTGGAGCATGTCTGAAGATGCCAGTGGGACCAAAGTAACCTTCAAATGCAGCCAGATGTGCAAACAGTAGAAATGTTTCTGCATACCTGTAAATAACCTGCACCGATAGCTCAACACTTCTCTTCTGCACACGTCCTCCCCAACTTGCCCTCACCTTGATGTGTTTGTAGGGAGGAGGTTTCTTGTCATTCTTTTTGTCTTCCTGAAGCTGTCTCAGTTCTTTCTGTGCCTTCAACTCTTCAAATCTTACTGCAGCTTCCTGAAGAGCTGAGTGAAAGAACAGGGTGTGTTACAAGGAACTCTCTCTGCGCGCACAGAGACAGGCTGCGAGTGCCCATCCAGCAGGCAAAGCCCAGGCACTTGCACTCTCCTAAGCGGGCAGCCTGTGTTACCGTGATCTTGAGCACAATTTCTGCGAACGGCCCAACAGTGTCTGAGCTGGACTCTCACAGGAAAGGTTCATCAGCAATCATGAACTGATAGCTCCACTGACAACACAGAGCTGCACGCATTCAGAAGGCCAGCTTTCACCCTCCACAGCCAAACCTCCCCAGCAGAGAGCTCCATGTTGCTCTGGAGGGAAAGGAAGAGGTTCACTAGATGGGCATGAAAAAAAGGCCGACACAGTGAGGCAGTCACAGGAGTTACAATAAGGGACTTGCCTGAGGGTGATGAAGCATCCAAACCGTCATCTAATTTTGCCTGCTTTTGTGAAGAGGTGTCAGGCAGCTCCATTCACAGCTCTTAAGTGGATTTTTATATACAGATAATGTCTGTATTAGACACAGGGAAGCTGACACAGCAGCAGCTTACCCAGACTTCGAGCAGCTGGGGCAGAGCTGGAGAAGAGTTCAAGATCTGTGCACCCTGCATGAGCTCTGACGTATGAAAACGTTGGGTGGAATGGATGATAGGTAAAAAGCAGTTTATTCTGCAAATTTAGTTTAGCTTTAACTCTAAAACATCATTATCTCTCTCATAAGAACACCACTTCTCCAAATGGGAAAGAAGAGAAACAGAGCATGGAGCCATCATGTACCTCCTTGGATTGAGATGAGTTACCTTTCTTGTATATGCCATCCACACCTTTCCCCATCTTGTCTTTGCTGCTGACATCCCCTTCCATGTAAGGGAACACACGGGCTTGGTGGGTCCACAGGTAATCCTTGGAGCCGAAGAACAGCACAGGGAACTCGCCAATGTCATGTTTCATTTTCTGGATGTTAACGGGAATTGTCCTGGGATGGCAAATCTCAGCTGGCCACCACCTACAGAGGGAAGGGCAGATGAAACCTCAGACTTCCCCACTTGCAATGGAGTCAGATGCATGCTACTGGCTTGAGAGGCATGGGTAAAGAACTGTGCGAGGGCAATAACCAAGGCTGGTAGGGAAAGAAGAGGCTATGGGTTGAGGAAAGCATGCACTTTACTAGCAGCTGCATGCATAGAAATAAGTCAGAGGCTGCTGCACTGTACCCTACAAAAGGGAGCAGTTTCTCATCTCAGACACCGTGAGCACCACATGAAGAAGGAAAGGGGAGATGTCTGCTCTGCCTTCACCTACCTGTAGCGCCCAACTTTCACCCAGACTACTTCCTTGTAGTGTGGCTTTTTGCCTGCCTTGCAATCATTACAATACCAGCTTCCCTCTGGCATCTCAATGTTTAGACACTCACGGTGAAACGCAGCTGGGCACGACTCGCAGCATAAAAGGCTGCCCCCTACAAAGAAAAGGAGGAGGTATTTGTCAGAGTCACTGTGCAGAAGCACTGGCCTCTATATTTCTAGAGGGAATCAAACAGCTGGCAAAAAGGTATAACGCCTTTCTGCAAACCCTTTTCAACAGCTCATGCCATACTCTTGTTGCACAAAGAACCTCTTTAAGAATCCAGAAAAAGTCCTAGCCTGAAGTCAGATTTCAATAGAGATGGATAGGAAGACAACCTGTTCTCTTCCGTTTCCATTGGCACACTTTGTACAGGTAAAGCTTCTGCCTGCTTCAAACATTGGGGCCTCGCTCGGCGAAAGTCTCACCTTCCGAGCAGACAAAGCACCAGCTGACGTTGACGTGCTCATGGTTGCGACAGCCCCTCCGCGCAGTGAAGTGATTGGGGCAGATGATGCTGTTGGAGGCAAGGACCACGGATCCAGCAGCAAGGCAGAAGTCGTTGGAGTGGTATGCCACTGGACACCGCACACAGCGCATCAAGCGACCTAGCAGCCGAACACGTCAGGAACATAGTGAGCCCCTGAAGGAGGTCAAGTTTTCATTTCCTCTCAAAGCTAGTCTCTGTTGGCATTCGAGCACCAAACAAGTAACTGTGTGTGATTTTTGGAAACAGAAACTGACCTTCAATTTTCATAGACAATCCATGACATACATTAAATAATTTGATAGGAATCCAGTGAGTAACAAAACCTATTATTTAGAAGTAAAAAACCTCCTGCATGCACTACACAAACAGTGCAAGAGCACACAGACAAGGACTGTTTCCTCTCACACACAAATAATTAGTAAAGTAGTTCAGACAGTAATGACAGAGGGGGTGTTCCAAGCGCTTAGCTGAACATCAGGAAAACAATCTGTGTGGCTTTTGAAAACATCAACACTCGCCTCACTACTTTACTGCAAAATTCCAGAATCGAGAATTTAGAATCTGCTAAAGACCTAATATATTCAAAAATTTCCAGTGCTTCTGTTCAGTTCCTCACAGGAGACTACTAACAGGGAGAAGAGATCACAGGAAAGGGGTAAATTGGACCACTGAGAAGCAGCCAGAGCAAAGACAAGGCAAACGTTCAGTGGAGAAGGGGTCAGCTGTGGGCTTGAGGCCCTGGTGACTTTTATTACACTGAGTATTAGTATGTGGGGAAAAAAGGACAGACATAGCAGAGCTCAAGGATAAAAATACAGCTAACACTATTGTTACCAGTCTTAAGATACCAAGGATTTAAAGACAGGCAGTTTTGGAAGCCAATATACAAGACACATATAAAAGTTTTAAGCTTAATCATGGGGGAAAAAAGGGGTCAAGGTATTGCTGTGAACAGCTCAAACACTTCCCTGAGAAGCTTAACCCAAGGGTGTCACTACAAGATGATTTTGTGTTAAAGAAAAAAGGGAAGGAAAACAATACCAAAATTAGTACTATGCTGTTTTCTATACCATTGCCTTGATAGTGAGTGCTGCTAAGCAGGGAGTGATTGTAGCACTATCACAGTGAAAAGTAAGTAGGAGAAACGTGAGAGAGTCCGTACAGCTCCAGAGACTTATTCAAAAAACCAGAAAGGAATGTGGCATTGCTGGACGTGCAGGCAGCCAAGTATCTGGACAGACAAGAACATTTTCGTTGCCACCTCTGACCATCAGGAGTGCTGATGAGCAGCAACCTCAAATACGGACACTTCCCCCGCCCCGTCACTGGAGAGGAGCTGCTCCCCAGCAAATGCTACAGCAGGCAGCATGGCAAGGACAGAAAATCAACACAAACAACTAACAGATCACTTAACAGCCCAGGGGGCACGAGACAGAACAAAAAGGGTTCTGACTGCCTCCCAGGACCACTCTAGAGAATTATAGTACCTTTAGATGCAGAGATGTTTGCTGGGTTAGCAGCATGACAAGTCATACATATGTGCAGAGAGCATCGGAAGCCCTTGTTCTGCAGGACCGTGGGCGGATACTTCTGTATGCAGTCCTCATGGTAATATTTCCCACAGAGGGGCAGCAAGCACCGTTTTACATCTTCCCCACTGCTCTTGCACACAAAGCAGGTATGGACCCCTAGAGAAAGAGCGGTAGACATAACACCAGTCACAGAGCAGAACTAAATGAAAACCTGCCACCTCCGCCACGCTACATATTAGCGCAGTGTGACTTCCCAACCCGCTGCATGTATCCCAAAGCACTGCTCTCTGCAGCAGGCTGGTCTTGCCTGCAGCTGCAATACAACTCCAAATGGAAACAAAGATCGTTATAGTTGTGATCACAGGCTGGAGCTGGGAGAAGAGAAAAGAAAAATCAACAACTCCGCTTAGATATTTCCCCCTCTCCAGCTTACCCTGGACTCATCTTCCCTACCGCTCTTTTCTCCCTAACACCAGATATAAATTTTCCCTTTCTCTTTCCCACTAGCATCTGGACATTCCCTTCTTCCTACCCCACCTGCCTGAAGATTATTTGCTCAACAGTGAGACCAGTTAATTGGAAAGCAATTATCAAACATTAAATCAATAAGCAGAGGACTGAGAGGCAGTTAACGGCCCTACTGCAGGCACAAACACTCCAGTGAAGAAAAGAGCAGGTAAGCACCCTGTCCTTCTGCACTGACAAAGGCTGCATACCTGTGGAACACTCATTGCAGATGAATTTGCCCTTTGGCATCTCGGAGAGCCCAAGGCACTGCAGGTGGAAAGCACCACAGCACTGCGCCTCACACAGCAGCAATTCCCCTGGCTTCTCGCAGATCTACAGGGAAGGAAGCACACCATCAGCTCTGAGCAACCCCCCATCCCCAGCTAATCCCAGACAACAGCAGCAACCTGTGCACTGGCCAGGACTGCCAGCAGAGAGACCCTGCAGAAAGGTTCTGAGCTCTCCTTGCTCCAGTATGTTTGGGTGGTTTCCGCACCACCACTGGCACTTGCTATCTAGTCCCTGCTACCGTGCATCAGCTAAAGTCATATTGTTGTCCATGTTTTCCTTTCTCACATCCTTAACTTTTAGCAGGATGAGAGATGCTCGCATAAGAAAGGCTCAGTTCAGAACAAGGGATGTTACTAGTTAAAGGATACTCAGAGCCTCTAGAACTGCACAACCCTCACACAAGAGCATGAAAAGCTGATTAACTCTTTAAGATGTGCCTTGAGGCTACCTGGTTAGCTGGGGCACTAGTGCATGCCAGAACTTACACGAGAAAACTTAAGGGTGGCAAAGTTTCAAAGACAGCCCTTCAAAGACACTACCTGACACACGTTCTCCTTGAGAGCTGCTCCTCCTCCACGCTCCCCCTGCATCTTTTTGGATGAAGGCACTCCATGGTCATTCTCAGACCCCTCTTCATTACCCTCTTTGGGGCTTGCAGCAGTCCCATGAACTGATGTCTCCCCCTTTAAAAAGAAATCCAGAATTGGGGCTGTCAGTATTTCCTGTCCTGACTTGCAAATGCAGCTATCAAGCACATACAGGTTTGGCAGTCAGCCTGCATGCTGCACTGCAGGCTTTGTTACCCACCCTGGAGAGAACACCCCTATACAATTCCACCAACATTTTTAAGGAAGGGAAGGAAAGAGGTCTTAGTTTATTAAATCATTAAAAAAAATACACATTCAGTGCAACTATTTTGCTATGTGTAACCCCTCTCTGAAAATGGATTCCATCATGGCTGCGGAAGAGAGATTACCCTGCACAGAAACCAACCAAGCAGGCTGGAAGAGTCCGAAAAACATGCCCTCCACCCAATGCCAGAGAACTGTCCCACATCATGATGTCTGCTTGCAATGGAAATGCAAATGAGAACCTTCAAACAATCTTCATTGAGATTTCACCCAGCAAATAAGCTAGCTTTCTCCAGACTCTTCTCAGCTTGTACTACCCCTGCAAAACACACCTACACAGGTACTCAAGGCCCATAGCACTATGAATTAGCAGGCCTACCCTAATATGAACAACAAAGCAGGGCATTTACACTACCCATCCTGCTTGAGGTGGCAAGTCTGTAGTAAGCACATGACCTGAGTGACTGTGACAGCACTGACTGTAACGTCTAACAGAGCGAGCATCCTGCAGAAAGACAGACAGACTGCATCATGGAGATTCACTCCATGAATTCAGTTTGCACTCACATGGGCCAAGTTGGCAAAGCCCGCCAAAAAGGCCACAACATTTCCCAAGGTGGAAGGACACCCTCTGACATGCATGCAGGACCTGCCCAGAGACTGTTTAAGGGAAGGAGAGCAGCAGCTGTGCTAGAGATACTGGTCGCCACCACAAAATACTGCTGTTCTGCAGCTGGGACATGGCAGAACATCCTTCACTTTCATCAGGACAGATGACTAACAGCTAGGAAACGACCACTCCAACTTCTGAGCTTTTAGGTACAATCTAGGCAATACTTCTGCAGTCTTTTATGAGCCCCAGCTGCTACTCCATAGTGGGTAAGTCTTAAGGGACTTTCACCACTGCACCAATATATTGCTTAGAAACTGGCTAAGTACTTTGAGCAAGAACATTTCAGAGAAGTCTGTCTTTCTTTTTTTTTTTTTAAATTAAAAATAACCCAGTCCACTGCACAGATAGCCAAGGGATCTCAGTGGCTAGTCACCAGTTCCTCCTTGGGTCACAAAGCCGTATCCAGTGTATATCCAGATATGTACTGTACACCTTGAAGACCTTGTCAGGAATTCAAACTGCTGTCAGAGTAGCAGCCATCACTCTCAATATGCTTGAGGCTACCCAGTAGAGAGTATTCACACAGCAAGCATGAAAGGGAGCTTTGCACCACTTTCTGTATGGGAGAATACCAGTCAGAACTGTGGTGCCGTTAATGCTAGGATATATGTGAATACAACTTGAAAGTTGAACTAAATACACTCTGGACACATTATTAGTCTGGGCAAAACAAATTTTGGGAAAGCTTTATGTCCCTAAGTAGGAAGAACTTGGAGTTGGTATCCCGGCCAGATAATGTTGCTTCCTCTGCTTGTTTTTTCATTCCTTGGATGCAACAGTATGCTTTCATTTTGGGATATTGTAAAGCCATGTGAGTTCTGTGGAGCAATGAAGCACAGATGTACTGACGGCATATTAAAACACACAATGCAAAGATGAATGGTACAAACTTCCTTTATTGAGCACCAAAAAGCAAATTCCCAGCTACAAACTAGTGCCAATCCAATATGCCATACAGCGTACAACCTCACAGACTATCATCACAAACACGCTGGAAGGCTGGCAGCAATATAGCCTGGGGGAATACTGAGAAAGAGCTTTTAAGCTGCTGCCACCCTATCACACAGCCCCGGTGGAGGGACAGGAAAGGTCTGCACCACATTGGTATAAAAAGCCGCTAACAACACTGCTGCCACCTTTGCCTCTGTACCCAATAGCATCTTTTGAAGTGCTGCCTATGATACCTCTGCTCCTGCAGCCTTATTTCTGCTAGCAAGGACACAGTCTGTCACAAGACAGCTCTCTGGCCCAAACACTGGATTTGGTGCCCTAAAATTCATGTGGTTACTTCTGCCTTGAGTCTGCATGCATTGCCAGCCCTCTCTTCCATATCAGCCTGCAGCTCCAGGAGCAGCACTGGAGACCAGCACTCCAGGGACTGGGTATAGCTCAGGTCCTCCTATTCCTACATTCGTGCTCCCTCTTCTGCTCAGCTCAGCAGTGACCTCGGGGTTGCAGGGGTCACTGTAACGAAGAACAAGAGCAGAGTTAATCAGCTACAGGTACTGGCAAACAATCTCAGCTACTGCGTCTGCTCACTCTGGTGCCCCAGGGTTACAGACACAAAGTGAGCTCAGCTCCCCTCCCAGTCACTGAGGATCCACTTCAGGAGGTACAGGGTGCTGGTAAACGAGCACCGCTCCTGTGATTAATGACATTAGCTTCCTGCTGTAGCAAACGTTCAAGAGAGTCTTGGAAGGAGGGAAGGGGAGAGATTCAGACGAGCTACAGACAGAGGCATGAGGGATTTTGAATTGGTTCATCTTTCTATCCTTCTGGCCCACAGCTGCTAGGAGTACTTGTTTTGAACCCTGATGGCCACGTTTCATGTGTTAATGGAACAGTAGAATAAAATGCATCTAGAACTATATAACATTAACCAGCAACCCCCCCATCATCAGAGCTGGTAGCATTTGCTGGTAGCAAAAACGCTAACAACCAGGCCCAAATTGCGCAGTGTGGCGCAGCATGCTCTAGCCTTGACCCTTTCAATCTAAATCTATCCTATTTAGTTCTACAAATATCTGGCCAGTCTGCAAGCTTCACACACCAGAAACCTTAAGTCTTATTTGAATCAATGCTCCCTACAATCACATACGGAAGGCAATGCCAGAGCTGAGAAAGATAGGCAAGGCCAGATATTTGCGCTTTGAGAACAGGGAGAAGGGAATCGCCAGCCAAGGCCGTGACTCAAAAGAACCTGTCACACTGTTCCCCTTCTTCTCCCCTACCCAGTGTGTGAGCACTGCAAAACTACATACCTCCTATAGAGGGCAGGTCTCTCATCTTGGGTCTTCTTCCAGAGCTATTTCTGCTGCTGCATCTGGCACATCCTCCAGAGCCTGGCCTGTTCTCTGGCACAGCCTGACCTTGGCTCACAACCTTGACAACCATTTCAACAGCATTTTCCATCCCCTTCTCTCAGTCTCTTGCTGCCCTGAAGTTGTGAACTTGCACTCCTGGCTCCATCGACAGGCAAGGACAGAGAAAGCTGCCTAGTTCAGCCCAGGCGGATAGGCTTTCCTCTGCCCTCTTTTCCTCTGAAAGCAGCTGGATCCAAGACTTCACTGTGCTGTATCACCAGACCATCTATTTCTTCCAGCACCATTCAGCAGAAAGGGGGGCTCCTTGCCTGGCGTGTGGACAGTCACTTAGGGACCGGCATGGTCTGAATTCCAACTGAAAGTGTAATTGCATCTCCACAGCAACCCAATACTCACCAGTACCCGTGCACCCACCTACGCCAAGTGGCTCAAGAGACCCCCAAGCACAGAGAAATGGATGCTGGTAAAAGGTGCCAAGCACTGACATTACCTAACTTCAGGTACTCCACACAGATGTCTAAAGCTGGAAGCAGTTAAGACTCCCTGGGCTTCCTCTGCAGTGAACAGTGAGTGAGAGATTCAGAGCTTTGGCCTAGCTACTCTGGTGCTCTGAACTGCCCCCTCATTTCTTCCCTATAGAAGATACATGGAGAATATGCTCGCTCTGTACTAAGCCAGCATCTTAGTGGGTGTCTAATAGCAGATAGCGTTAACTACCCCCCAAGCATTGGCAAAGATACTGGTACAGGCTTCTTGAAACACGATTCCAGGTGAGCACACTTCAGAAACAACAGAATGACCTGTGCGCTAAAAATAGCGCAGGAAGGATTGCCCAGCACAGGGCTATTACCCCAAACTTCATCACCCCCATCAGAAATGCCCTTCTCAAAAAGCAGTAGCAGCAGACAGCAGGGTGGCTGGCACTGCTCAGGTAAGTGGTGTGCCGCTTGTGCTCTGCTGGAAGCTGTATAACAGTAACAAATATAACAGTATACGTCTATAATTGTCTCCTGAAATACATACTGACTATCCTGACAGAACAGCCTGCTGCTCAACCTGGGCCACTGGAAGAGAGGCGATGGTGGGAGGCCCAGAGGTGTCCCGCCTCTCCCAGGAAAAGTCTTGCTTCCCCTACACTTGGTGATACCTGGCTCATTCCTAAAAGGCAAAATGCGCTTGTCAGAGATATTTGTATGCCAGCTCTGCTGGGATGCAGCAGAAGGGAGTTGCCCCAGTCACCCCGTTCTGATGGCAGAATGTAATGAGGGGCTCCTGCAAGCAACCACATAAGGCCCTCCCCCCATCCCCTCCAACATGGATCTTCAGCTCACCGTAGCATGCTAGGGGCATGCACTTCATATGGATGTGTAAAAGGGCAAGATTCCCACCACCAGCAGACAAGACCTTTTACAGCAAGATCTTCTGAGGTGCAAAGCAAAACGCCAGGCAAAACCTGGCTTTGTCAGATCAGAACAGCCTCCCTCCTGGAGAATTAGCTGAGTAGCAGCTTAAAAATTGAGCCCGAGTTAAGCAGTCACCATCAAATAGCTACTAAATCAAGGTGGTACCTTCAGCTTCAACCCCAGGCTCATGCCACTCCATCAGTGAGACAAAGTCCCAACTGAAACACCAACCTCACATTCAGCCAGCCAAAGACTACCTGGCCTTGGTTCTGCACAGTGCCCTGAGAAGTAGCAGACAAGTTACAGACATCACAGCGTGTAGGAGGACTCAACAGTACCTCAGAGTGTGGGGCCTCCCCCAGCCCTTCCTCATTTCTCTCCTTCTTGGTGTGCATCGCAACAGAGGCATGGCGCTGTCTCTTCCTCTTCCGCTGCTTCTCCAAGAGCTTTTCGGGAGCTGGCAAGGGACAGAAATACCACTCAAGACAAATGCAGAAATAACAACTCTTGCTACAGGCACTACCAGCAAATTCCACACTCCTGCTGACAGTTTCAGGCTAGGTCCTACTGCTGTGGAGGTTGTAAGGCCTGGGGCAACATTAGCCTCCAGGCAGCCTGCTCTCTGTCCTGCAACTGTCAGAAGACCTGGACAACATTGATTCATACTGGTCTAAGCTTCTTCTGCTGAGCTGCCAAAAAAACATCACTCTGACTTTCTTTCTTGCTGGGGGACAGTCTCGAGAAGTTACCAATACAAAGTTTAAATTACTAATCAAATGTTGATGATTATCTCCCCCCACCCCACTGCAACAAAAACCCTTCTCACATCAACAACATCGCGACACCAATGCAGGGAGGAAAAAATACAATTCAACTACATAATTCTTCATGGGACACAGCAGCCACTGGTCACAACATACCATCAGGCAAAAGACACTGCCTTGATACAGGACCCATGGTGATGGGTTTCCTTCAAGCACTCAGACTAAGAATGAGCAGTGAACATCTTCCTGGAGAATTTTGAACCCTGCATTTCCACTTTCTATAGGGGAGTCAGACAAAACAGCACCTTTGATAAAAGATCTCAGTACCTATACCTTCTGCCACTCTCTCAGCTGAGGAAAGTACCCTCTGAGAGCCCAGGACATGCAAGCCCTTGCACACATGCTAAAACCACAGGCACTAATCCAAACAGTGTCAACAGTTTACCCACACAGCCCTGTCTTTACTTACCTTCTCCCAGGTCCAAGAAGTGGGCTGGTGAGTACAGCTCAGAGCTGTCACTCTCCGAAGGGCCAGTGCCCTACAAAAACATAACACAGACACAATTCACCAGCTGCAATCAGATGCAAATCGGAGATGCACGTTCCTCAACCACTCAGCACTTTTACAAACAACTGCAACAAGTAACATTTCAGATCATAAATTCATCAGTGATTAGAGACTGTACAAGAAAACATTTGGTTTCTGTGTTTGATAGATCCCACATGGAAAAGTCAACAGGCTCTGGGAAGGGAGAAATGCCGAGTCTGCTGTGTCTCATGCTGGCCAGCATCACCCGCTGTTTCCTGAGCTCTTCTGGAAAGGCTGCTAACATCCTGCAAGTTGCTGGGGGTAGAGACTCTCTCCTGCTTTTACATCTGTATGCAGCCTATGACTGAAATACACTGGCATCCGCACTACTGCGACCTTAACTGTGCCCAACAGGGAGAGAACAAGGAAAGCAAGACTGCTCTTAATAAACCTTAGGAACACTGACAAGTCTTGTACAGGCGCAACACTTGAAGTAACTCTTCATAATTCTTTTTTCAAACCATGTCACTGAATGAACATTGAGTATTTAGCAGAAAAGACCTGCATTTTATTTAAAAATCTGAACCAAGCACTGTATACTGCACGTGCGATACAACTCAAGCCTCCATCCTGCTACAAGCTGTACACTGCTGTACCATTCACCAGGCCACTGGGGAGGGTAACGAAAGAAACGCTATTCAGAGGAAATCTGACAGAAAAGGACAAAGCCTTTGGTTCACGCTAACGCTACACTGCAACATAATAAGGATTCCCTGTGACAGAAAACCCCTGTCCAGAACATTTCTGCTCACGCCTTCCCAGCCAGCGTTCAAACAGATCCTTTTCCCATACATATCAATAAAGAGAGGAGGTTTTACAGCCAGAACTCCCCAACCCACATTACAAGTGGGGAGGGGTAGGGAACACCGTATCCAAGAGATTTCTTCATCATAACACAGCAACCAACACCTTCGGGAAGGGTGGACCTTCCCTCCTGGACCACAGCCACAAAAAACCACAGTCCATTGCACTGCACGCCTCATTCAGGAGAGCGTGCTATCTGCACTCACTTTCTATCTAGCTTTCAAAACACTGCAAGGGAAGTACCTTCTTTGGCGGAGTCCACTCCTCCTTCTTTGGCATAAAGGCAGTGTCCAAATCATTAGATTCCAAAAGCTTTTTAGTGGGCTTCCTTTGACGCTTGCTTTCGAAGTTTCCTGCAATAAAACTCTTTTTGTTAGATAAATGAGGATTTTCTTCAATAGACTAACACCATTAAACAAATACCAACCAAAAGTTCAAAACTCTTAACCTGCTTCACCTTGTCCTTTGGATTATAAGCTCCTTGGGCAGAGATATCAATTATCTGCACCTCCACAGCTTCCACTAAAATGGACCTCCGCCTGCTATGACCTTCTGGCATACTTCAATATTAAGTATTTAAACAAAAATCTATCCACAGAAGATAGACTATGAAGTTAATACCAGCAAGTAACATATTCTGGCAGTGCAATTCAGATTATAATTTCAGAATCACTTAGATCTGGCATATACCAGTCCCACCACAGATGTAGCCCTGCCTTCTCCTGCTCCCATTCCCCCATTACTCACAGCAGCATTCACGCTATGTAGGCTGCGCAAGCGTAAGGGCCTGATCCTGGTTAAAAACTACTGGGGGAGGGAAAAAAAAAAAAATGTTTCAATCTTCATCAGTTTCCAGATCCTGCTCAAGCTTTTTTGCTAGCACTCAGGAGGTCACAAGCTACCAGACCGCAGACCAGCCACTAATTTAGGCAACAGTATAAACTTTAAATGACCAGGGAATTATGGTGTTATGAAGCGCAATTCAATTCACAGAAACAGGCTACTCATACCCTGTTCATCTCCTTCCTTTCTCATCCTCAGCCATGTCCTTCCTATAACACACACCTCTGCTTGCACTGCTCATGCCTCAGATGCCTCATGAAGGGACAACACGGCATCACTCTCAAGGTAAGCCTCTTTGCCCACAGCTTGGGCTCTCCGTGTGCATTAGCAAAAGAGTTCTCTTAGAAGTGGGAAGAGCTGTGCGCCCTCTGCTCACCGGCTGTCTGCTCCCTCTGCTGCGCTCTGCACTGTTCCCCTGTATCCCCAACCTCGGGTTCACGTCCCCATTTTTTCCTCCTTTAATCCTCTCCAACTTCACATTTCCTTCTGATACTCACAAGCCCCTTACAAAAAGAACAGGCTAACTGATCTTCCTGCACCTATACCTTTCTGCCTGCTCAATTTCCTGCTTGGTTTACTTTTACAGTAGGCCTGTAGAACAGATACAGCATTCCCTACAAGTTAGTGTAGCCAGAACACCAAGGCTTTTCCCCTGGACGTATCTTTAGACGCTACCGGAGAACATACTGTTAGGTGTACTCTGACACTGACTGCTGAAAAGTGAAAAGTCCATCAGATCACAGAATCACAGAATGGTTGAGGTTGGAAGGGACCTCTGGAGATCATCTAGTCCAACCTCCCTGCTCAAGCAGGGACCTCTAGAGCATATTGCCCAGGATCACATCCAGACGGGTTTTGAATATCTCCAGCGAAGGAGACTCCACCACCTCTCTGGGCGACCTGTGCCAGTGCTCTGTCACCCTCACAGTAAAGAAGTTTTTTCTCAGGTTTAGATGGAACTTCCTGTGCTTCAGTTTCTGCCCATTGCCTCTTGTCCTGTCGCTGGGCACCACGGAGAAGAGACTAGCCTCATCCTCTCGACACCCCCCCTTCAGATACTTATACACGTTGATGAGATCACAGTCTCTCTTCATATACAGTGCCTTGCTGAATGCCAGTGCCCTGGCCTTGCAGTCACATGCAGCTGCTTGTGCAAGTCTGACAACTTCTTCACATACTTAGAATCTCTAAAAAAAAAATAAAGTTCAGGAGGGAATTCTGTGCTGCAGTTCCCTAAGCTCGCTATAAGACCAAAAGGTCAGCCCATTACCTATGCAAAAGATCACACTTTGCACACATCAACTGCACAGCAATGCTCATCCAAAACGTTTTAACAGCAACGAGACTCCTCCAAGCTAAAAGGAACGTAACTGTTTGCAAGCACAAGGCAAGCAAAGATGACAAGGATTCAGAAAAGGAGCCATGGCCACCTTCATTTGGATAAAGGGGCATTCTGGGCCACAACCAAAGGGAGACACCATATCAGAGAATGCTAAAATCACAAATGTAATGAATCAACTCACTGGGCCACCCACTTCACCTGTCCTCTCCCTTTCAAGCAGCAGTAATGACCACTGAATGCAGCAAAGTAAAAAAATAGATCAACAGTTATTAACCTTTTTCATTCTGACTGAAGCAACGATTTCCGCTGAACTTGTGACATGTTCACTTTTGTGCGTAGAATCACACAACCTGCAAGTTACCTGTTTTCAGGAATCTCTCCTCTGCTTCTGGAGAAGCAGAAACTTCAGAAACATCTGAGGAAGACAGCACCAGCTCTGGCAAGTCTGAATGTCCTTCTAAAAGTTGGTCAGTGGGATCTGTGGAATGGGATCCTAGTTCTGAGAGGGAGCACTCTGCTTCAAGGATTGGAGGGGACTCTTTGGTTGAAGATGGAGTTGAAACCAAAGGGCTCTGCCCTCGCTGGGCATCGCTTCCAGGACTGCGCTGTGCGGGAAGACGTCCTTCAAATTCAGACTTCACCACAGAATTCACCTAACGTAGCAAAACATGGAGATGAAAGCATCTATCCTACAGAGCACTGCACACACCAAGAAAACTCACCAAGCAAGAACATATCAAAGGGACACAAACCAGAGCCCTAGAGAAAGAGCCACGAAGAGCTTATTTGCCTTAACCTACCTTCCGCAATTGCTCCTGGCCCTTCTTTGATTTTTTCTTGGGTGCAAATATGTGATCATATTCTTCTGCGTATTCCAGAAGCCGTTTACTTGGCTTTCTAAGGCGCTTCCTCTCTGAATGTACTAAGAAAAAGGAAAGCAGCTTCAAGACTATGTTTCTGAGAAGATCACAAGACAAAATTCTCCTTATGATCTGCAGATAATAGCTGCTCCTGCCTTCTCTTCCAGAGGCTCCATGTGGAAAGAGCCCTGTGACTTCATTCTTTGATACAGCCTTATAATCTTTGAGCTTCATATTCTCCATAATCCTGACATAGCAGGTGGGATTTTTAAGGACCTAAGGGACTTCAAGTAGGAATTCAGGTGAGAATTAAAAAAACATTAGCTATCTGACTGACTGAGAAGCTTCAAGGAATTCCACTCATCTCCTTAGACGAATGACATCTAACATTCTTGCAGTAGGTTAACCCAAGCCTAAGTCTGATTAGCCACTCAGACTCTTTGCACTACTTTTCCTGTTAACCCACACTCCTTTGGTTTTTAGTGTGGGGGCAACGGGAGAATGTTGTTTTCCCCTAACACAGTTCAGTTACTAATTTCACTACTAACACATCTAGCTCCTTCCCCTTCCTCCCTAGCACCACATCCTCTTCTACACTACCATCCTACAAGAGCCTACAATTCCCACTGTGCTGCTGCGAGCCTGTTTATTCCCCTTGCTTCCCAACAGATTCTACAATGAAATCAGGATGACCAGGGAGTGAACAGATCAGTCTACAGTAGACTGGAAGCTCTTCAGGGCTCAGATGTCTTCTGTAAGTTTGAACAGCACTACACCTTCACAAGGGAAAAATCTGGTAACGGGGACTCCCCCAAAACAAGCACAACCACCCCACGCTATACTTCCTCACATCATCTCGACACATGGTGAGCTTCAAAAAAAGAGCCCTGACACACTACGCCAGCTCTGCTCAGCAAGTTTCAGAAGCAAGATGATGCAAGTTTATTCCTTTTTGTCGCTTTCTGGAGTACCTCTAATCAAGGTGGAAGAGTCATTTGGTCAGCTTTCAGAATTAGTAAACAATATCCTCAAAAGATTTCTCCTGGTCACCAAAACATTTGTGGCCTCTTGGAACGTTGGAACAAACAGTAAATATTCTCTTTACCTCTTTTCACGTGAAGGAGGTGGCTTTTTTTTTTTTTTCCTTTAAACGGAAACATTTTCCAACAAAGGATTCCAGGGCAATACTTAAGAACAGGGATGTTGGACAAGATTGCTACGCTTCATTGTGGCTTTGTGGTTAAACAAGCATTAAAATGTCAAACTTAGCCAAAAGAGAAGAAGGGAACAACTTTTTCAAACACAGCTATTCTCAGCCACTATTAAAGCACTGTGCAGGTGTCTGTGTGAAATACATATTTCAGCGTATAACCAGTTTATAGGATGAGTATCTTTACTAGGCAACTACTTAGAGCCTCAAAGCCATGCAGCAGAGCACACAGCACTGTGCCAAAAAGGGTGGCTTAACTGCATTTGTTTCCAAAGTGAATCTTGTATGAGAATCCCAAATGCAGTCTGCCTTGCAGTAGCAAATCACATACCTTAAGAAACTATTATTTATAAAAATGTTTTAAGCCAGCAAATTCCAGCAAATTCATTTCTGCCTTATTTGCTCTTAAACATACCACAATGTTTGCAGCAAAATATGCCAAACATTGCCATTCAACTAAGATGAGGAATTATACCGTTTGTGCTCAGTGGAAATTACACAGTTCTGAATGCGATCTTTTATGCCCCCTTTCACTGATATTCTGGCTGCTGCGGACAAGGATTAATCAAGTCTTCTCATAGTACTAATAAACACAGGAAACTCATTCTCTTAAGCTACAGTTAGTCAAAATTCCAACATCATACTCTCTACTCTATAAAATTGATCCTGTCTGATATAAGAGAAGGAAGACTAGTTTCCCTGAATGGACTTTTCAAAGCATTAAAAGTTTACTCCGTACCAATATTGCACTGCTGACCTTAGAGCATTCCAGACAGCTCCTTTCTCACGGAGGCTCTGGTGCCTTGTTATTGTACATTTCTAAATATAAGTGTCAGATGTGCTTCAAAGCCCACGCGCTTTTGAGGGCGGGGGAGTTGGTTTACACTACAGTTGCTGATCTGTCACGTTTCTAAGCAAACCCAGGCCCTCAACGGGTTCCTGCGTTGCATTTCTGCATGCAGCACCTGGACAGCTCTGCTCTCCAAATGCCACCTCACCCTGGGAGCCATCTGCCTTGCACTGCTGTTTCTTCCTTCTCTCTTAACAGCATCACCCCTTATCAACTATTGTTCTCTAGTTCTCTCCGTAGACTTGCATCTCCATCTCACATAGCAACATAGAGGGATTCTTCAATCACAGAAAACGTCGTGAAGGCATGAGAATCCAGCTGTATCTTAGAGTAAGCCAGGAATTCATTTCCTTTGTCAGGCTGTGACAGTCCTCCATGGTAGAGCCTATCTACACAGCACAAGCCCAGGACAAAGAACATATTTTCTACTTGCTTTGTGAAGATGTGTGTACTTAAGTCCTCAAAAAACACACAGCCACAGTCAGAGGAGTTAATGAATGATTAAACTTGTCATGATTTCAAAACAGAACTGTTACCCAGTGCATTACACCCTATGGGCTCATTTTTTGTGCCTGTCATGACTTGCCTTTAGCAGTTCCTATGACCACTGAGCCAGGTGCTCTGTCTTCTCTGCATTGAAACAGAGGTGCGCAGGCAACCTCCAGCAGCCTCTTACTAATGACAAAATACACACACATCAGAACGTGCACACAGGCAACATACAGCAGAAGTGGCAAAACAGAAGTTCAAAAACTGTGAGTTATACTAACTTACAATATTACTTGTAAAGAGATTAAAGTCATTTAGTTTGGTGAAATCATTGGAAAGATTTCATTTTGTTCTTTTCATTACGGCTTGCTTCCCCAGATTCTTTGCAGAAGCCTGAGGATGGCATGCGTTGAGTATGATCCTACTGGACCTACTCTTCTCTCCTTTTTTTTTTTTTTTTTTCTTCCTTCAAATCTGCTTGGTGAAGAGAATGAAATTTAGCCAGGAATCCTGGGGCGTGTCATCAAAAAGTGCCTTGAATGTTTTACCATCATCTGGGTGGCCACCAGACAATGACCCAAGGGTTTTTTTTTGCTTGTAAAGTAAATTTCCACCTTAACTATCCCCTAAGAAACTCACCTATATCTTCATGGGAGAGGCAGGGTTGTCTGACCTTGCGGCCCTCAGCAGCTTCCTTCTTCCTAGGTCAGCTTCTTTTGGATGAGGTTGCCTTACATCTGCCTACCATCTTCCAGACCCACCTCATTCCCAGACTCCCTGGCAACTTTCCCCTCTCCTCTATTCTCCCCTTATCCCTCAGAGAGCCCCATAAGAGCTGTAAACTAGGAAGTCTGTGGGGTTATGAGCAGCTAATAAACTTCCACTCTAAAACTAACAAACAAGAACACAACACAACAAGTCTTGATGAAATCCTGCAGAACAAACCAAACATGGATTCTAAGGCAAAGAGCTTTGGGGGGGAGGGAGAAAAACAAAAGTAAGCCACTGAACCTTTGAGGGTCCGTTTCCCACACCTTTGTAGCATTGATCTATCCAGCTAAGAACAAGCACATGGCAAGGGACCATGGTATGAAGGTATAAATAGAAAAGAAAAAAAAAATCCCCAAACTCATTAGGATGAGTAATTTACCTTTCATCGTAGAGATAAATAAATCTCCATAACCACTCCGCCTCCTTTGTTCTCTGTTCTTATAGAGAACCCCAAAAACAACACATCACACTTTCTTCAGCTCACAGATACTTTTATCTCCATGTAGTCAAATAGCCCCAAATTGAGTAATTTATGTTTTAAATTAAAGATTATGACATGTAAACAAATATAGAAACTCTGGTGCAAGTCCAGCTCCCTTACCTTGTGCCGAGAATTCAGACTGGGGAGCAAAGCTGCCAAGCTCTGTTTCTGAGTCCATCACACTGTTGTTTGGCTTACCACATACATTCAAACGTTTCTCAACTAAGTCTAAATGATTCTCATAGTCCTGATCTGTTAGGTCTCCCTCAAGCACCTTCGAATGAGAGGAATGCCTACGTCCCAAGCACTCATTTCCCTTCAGCGAAAAGCCACGAGAATTCAGGCCAAAGGCACTCTCCAAGTTTCCTTGTTCCCTAGATCTACCGATGTGCTTATTGGATCTAGCACTGCTTTGGTTAAAACGCTGCCATCGCTTTTTGGGTGCTACGTGATTCATATCATTAGACTCATCACCAAGAGAGCTCTCACTATTTGCCTCTGAATCCAAGTCTGGACTCTCCCCATTTTCAGCAGAAATGCAGCTCTCAATGTTTCTACCAGGTTCAGGTCTCCTTCCAACACGATCTAAATTGTCATCAGATAAACAGGCAGAGTCTTCATCAGTTGAATGTTCTGTTAAATCAATAGACTCTTTCCTCTCAGTATCTTCTGCTTCCTTACCTAGAGGATTGGTAACCAAACCACGAACACGGAATGCATGTTCTCCTGAATCTCTGGATATTCGATTTAACAACTTACTTGGCCCTCCTGGTTTTAAGTCCTTTCTGTTTGGAATTGTTTTATCTCCAAGTTTTGATGGTTGCTTAGATTTTGAACAGTTGCGTTTGGATATGCAATTTGTGCCATTTGTCCCAGAAACAGCGGTATTCGCGGGGTCCCTTTTGCTAGTACCAACCCCTGTTAACTTGGTTGTAGGATTGCGTGAAAATGAGTTGCTTATATTGGAGTTCGGATTTACTGTTTCCTGCAAGCAATCCCCATTTTTTTCTATTTTATATGAGGGGCCTACAACAGCCAAGGACTTCAGACCACTCGCAGAGTTGCTTCCAGAGCCATCAGCTGTACTGGTATTTCGATACTGGACCATATTCTGAGTAGCCATCAGTTGCTGCTCTTTTGTCTTACTATCATGCATATCCTTCAACATCATTAACAAGGTGCTGAATTTGTAATCTGGCTCAATAGGCAAACGACTGTGACCAGAAGCGGAAGAAAAAAGTAAAGGTACTGTGGCCTTCGGCGTGCCAGAGTCGCTAGCATCATCATTTATGGACCGATAAGACAGTTCCTTCAGCTCTGACAAGACATGTTTCACCACAGCCGTTTCTATTTCAGCAGAATCCCTGGGTTTCTCATGCATGCTGTTTAATAATTTCTGACCACCAACTTTTCCACTTTTAGGAAGAGAATCTCTACGAAGGCCAGAGAAACCTTTGGTATCAGGAGAGCAGCAATTCACGCCACGCTCCTCTTCTGCGAGAGGAGGTTCCAAGCCAGCAACTTTTTCTTTATGTTTGCATTTTATACTCCTGATCCGGGGCGGTTTCATGCTTTTCTGTTTTAAGATTGCTTGTTTTGGAACAGCAGCCCAGGAGCTGTCCTTGGAAACACTTTGAGGAGTAGTGTGCTTGTTTACTATGGAAAGATTGTCATTTCTCACATCTGAAGAACACTCAAGAGCCATCAGTGACATCTCAGCATCAGAGGAGCCTCCTTCAAGCTCCCCATCTGCAAACCGAGCATCAAGTTTGCCGGCTACTGAACCTCCCAGAGGTTTGCGATCTCTGTGTGACTTCTTCCTGGCCCTTCTGCTGCTCTTCTGAGACAGGTACATGGAAAGCTTAATGTTTCCACTTGACGTCATAGGAAACTCCTTCTCCATTTTATCTGAAGAATCACTAACTTCAAGAGTGCTAGAGGCTCTCTCTGAACTTTGGTCCATGGTATCGACATCACTGTTTCCATCATCGGAGAGCGAAGAGGACGTATCCGATTCGGTTTGCTTTTTCTCAATACCAGTATTATCAGATGCAGAATAGTGTATTTGTAATTTGGAACTGCACAGAATGCCCAGGGAGCTCTTCTCTCTCTCCAAAGATGCACTGGAAAACAAATCCCCCTGGAGTGCGTTCTTCAGAGTATCACTTTTACGAGTCTCATACTCTGGTTTCAAACTTGCCTTTTCAAAACGTCTTTCTCCAAAGGAGGAAAGCAAATGGTTTTCCCTGGGGCCACTGGATGCTGTTAGACTGTTTGCAATGCGACGAAGTTCATGAGATGCATGTTTATCTGGCAGGTCCCCAACAATCATGTTTCTAACTATGCTCTCTGATGCCTTTTCTTTGATTTCTACCCTAGATACTTCCCCTCTTGTGCCACTCTTTTTTACTCTAGTCCTTTTTCTACTGTCAGAGCTCTTCTTCATATGTGGCTTAATGTGCAACTTTCCTTTTTCACCGGCCGGGTGTCTGGAGTCAAACGCCAAGGATTTAAAACAACCATTCAGCTGCCTGTCCCTTTCTGCTCCAGGGCCATTGGCATAGTATTCCAGCTGCGCTTCCTTCTCACTGTCCAGCTCGCTGGAGTTCTGGCTGCACTTTTGATCCTCGGGCCCCCCAAGAAGAATGTCTTCTGCCTGTCCGACACTGACTTCCCATTTAGCCATAAATCTTTGAGGAACCTTAAAGTTGGAGGAGACAAAAAAAAAAAAAAAAGAAAGAGAAAAAGAAAAAATTTGAGGGGGTAACCAACAGGATAAAAAGGAGAGAGAAATGGACAAAGCACAGAACAGAGCAACAGTCCTGCATTTGTTATCTACAGGACAAGTACATGGATTCCCACAGACTGTGCCTAGAGGACACAGAAAACACTTTCCCTGGGTAAATGCCTGGCACTCCAAATGAACCTAATATAAATCCATATACATTTCCAAAACAGTAAAAAGGTCCCTTCAAGCACAGGTCTCCCAGGGACCAAATGTCCTGGCACCCCAGCACATCCTGAATGTGACAATCTGTAAGGGGAATGCATATGGATCCCTGGCACAGAAGTACAGAGCAACAGCCAACAGGCCTCTCGAGGCAAGTGCAGCATCATTTTCTCAAAATATCTGAACAGACACGTTTGCTTTGCTCTCTCTTGATTCTTCCTACATCACTTGAATTTGGAGCACAATTCCATCTGCCCTCTCCATCAGCTCACCCAGGTACAAATGTGAGATCCAGACACACAAAACTAATACACCCAAATTCAACATTTCCATTACTTACAAGTCTCCCAGTACCCGTACCTTTAGCATAAAACAAAGGGCACTCTGCCTATTGCAGCGCAATGTCTGCTAACATCTAAAACAACAAAAAACTTGTTTCTTATTTGTGCATATTATTCTCAGCTGCACAGCAGTAAATCAAAGCCTTCACAACTGCTCCTAAAATCAAAACCAATTCCAAGGCAGGAGGAACAACTCAAATTTCTGACACTTTCTCTTAAAAACGAAAACAAAACAAAAAACAACCAAACACAAACCACCTCATCTCAGCAGGTAACAGGTATGGAGCCAGGTAGTAAAGCAGTCAAATATTTCCAGCTTGCATCAGATCTTGAATTCTGGGGATGTAAACCTGGACATTTATGCAAGCAACAAACATCCAATTCCCTCTGCTGCAGTCATACCAGCACTATAATGTACTTATAGAATGAGACCCTAGCCCATGGAGTATTTTAAGTTCTAGGACCAGAAAGTTACTTGGGAGCATATAACTAGTGGTTCAGAAGCTGGGAACACAAGGGGAAGAGTCATGAGAGAAGATATTGAGCGTTCTCTCGGAAAAGGGAAACCAAAAGAAAGCATTACACACAGGGAGCTCAAATCCACAAGAGCACTACGTTTAATCTGGTGCTCTTCACTAACATGGGTTAAGTACCTAAAAGAGAGAAGGAAAAAAAAAAAAAAAACCCAGAGACACCATTGCTTAATATGAGTATCTGCTCTTACAGTGATGCAGTAGCCTCTGCACTTCTTCACTTTAGCAATTCTTAAAAGAGAATTTCTCCAGTCTCCTTCCTAAAGATGTAGAACAGACCTCTGCTCGAGGCTGATGTGTTTGGAAAAGAGGCAAACGCAGATGATGCAACGAGCCTCAGAACTCATTCCTGCAGGCTCACTGACAAGGTATTTTCCAAGTCAAATTATAAATACTTACAGGTTTCTATAAAGAGAATTACTGAAGCAAGGTTAAAAAACCCACTGCTTTATCTCACTCAGTGATCTAGTAAAGCGTGCAGCTCCACCTCTACTTCACGTCAGCCAAAAGAGGCTGCCAGAGAGCAGAGGAAGTTATTTAAAAGCATGCTGTAATTGGCATCAGGAGAGGGCCATGCAGCTGAGCAAATCTCACGATGACAGAGAGACCTGACTCCTCTACCTCTCAGAGCTTTGTAGGGCAACAAAAGCAACAGACCCCACCCCTCCGTAAAAGAGCCTAGAAACTCCTGGCAGCTTATAAACTACGCTTGTTATAAGGATGCAAAGAATCACCCTGCTGGCTGCGTTGCTAAAATCACTGCCACAAAAAAAAAAAGCTGTCAAAGTGCAATTCTAGACACAAAGGAATATTTTTACTGTGCAGGTTCAAAGAATCAAAAACATACTAGAGAAAACAGATCTTCTACCTTATGTTTGTAGCCTTTTTCTTTTTGCTTTCCTCTTCTCCGAAGAATAGGCAGCTCTTCAAACTGATGTCTTCCCTCAAAGAGGACAATAGCTTTTCCAGCAACCCAGGCTTTCTCTGAAGGCTCTCCTAAGGCATCCACATAATACTCTCGGTACGGTCTCCGATTGGAAACTATTTCAAGAAATTTAACAGGGTTAACCTCTTGCATAAAACAGAATGAAGATACAGGAAAAGAAATAGAGAAAGCAGTAGCAATTTGTTAGTCAGTTCTTAACAACTTTGCTTAATAACACTCCCATATGAATGCCAGTTCTGGGGATTTCTAGTTAGAACTTAGGGAGACCCCTTTGAGCTCCACTGTCTATGTTATTTGTTGCTACTCTGCATCTCTGAATTTCTTTTTCTTACAAACAGTTGATCAACAGGTCTAAGATGACCTGTCTCCCTAGATCGAAGACTGGAGTTTGGCTGCAAAAAATTGGCAAAAGTATCCAAATATCTTCTTCCTTGAGAGAGATAACATACTAGGCAGGACATTTTTTGCTCCTCCCTGATTAACGATTAAACAGTCCAGTCCACTTGTCCGTTGGGAAAAGGCAACGGCGTGCTGGCAACATCCAGAAATAACATCCTCCTGGATGATTTGCTCGCACAGGTTTTTATGTCCCCCACCACAACATAACCCATCACGTTCCACATCTTATTGTCAAACAAATTCTTATTCTGGACATAAAACATCAACAGCAGCATTTAAGCAAGCATGTCTCTGGAGTAGAAATGTCCCACACGTACACACACTACAAAGAGTAAGTGCCATGTGACAAAATGCCAGTTATAATGAATATATCCATACTTTCGTCACTAAGGTGCAAAGCAAGAGAAGAAACTCCACCATAACAGCACAGTCACAACCACACTGGAGATTTAAATGGTGTTTTCTGTGTAAGAACATTGGACAAATGGGGTACAATTAAGGACTGAATCAGTAACTAGGTACACTGGTGAAAGACGACAGGTTAAGGCCATTAAAATAGAGCTAGCAAGGCTGGAACAAGGGTTATAAACTTTTCCAAGCATTTCCCTAC